GTACGATCATCAGGCGATTGATGTTAATTATCTCGCAATAAATTACAACGGTTTACGCTGACGCGCTTAGATTGCTGACGCAAGCATTTAAACGATTGTGTTTACTTGCGCGCGCGCGTTTGAAATTATATATATATATATATTTCCGCCCTTTTTGATATTTGTCTTTAAGTTGCAATTTATAAAGGTTGGAAGACATGCGAGAGAAGAAACATAATTACTGAAACAAGGTACTTTTGTTTGTAGATGTGCTCCAGTAAATATTATGCTTTTAATTCTTCAATATATATAGCCCGCGTGCAGGCCCAAGGGAACTGATAGTGGGCCTGCAAGCAAGGCCCGGTATTTTGTAAAACGCCCCTTTTCATAACACGCCCCACACATATTAGACGTGTTATTATATATTGTCCTGTACCATATTGTCTATTGATATTGTAATTTTAACGTAATCACACGGCCTTTTGAAAAGCAGCATTTAATTTCGTTTAAGTGCTTTAAATGGCTTCAAAAACGACTCATCTTATACGAGTTCATTGGCGAAGTAATTTTTAAAATAAACTATATGTCTAAACCGAGAAAATCAAAGCTAAAGTTTATGTAAATTACCATGATTTTTTATCACATAGAAAACCACGACACGCTTATGATTTTTCTTTGTGTTTTCAGGAGAATTATTAATGAGTTTTTGAAATGGCCCCGAACCCCAAAGGATTCTTGGATACTACACTCCTCCCTTCCCTGTGTCCAATAATCTAAACTACACTGTATCTAACAAAATAGAATGTCAACTTTAACTAAATGTCATATTAAATACTGGTTTATAACAAGTTCAACTTAGCTGTTTGCTAGTTCATAGCCCTGCAAATGTTGAGGAAGACGACGGTCTATATGGGGTTGTCTTTTGTGTTCTGCTTCAAGTTCGGGTTCATCCGGTGGTTCTGCAGGATTCACCTCCCTGGTTGGTAGTTGTATGTCTTCCAGTCCACTCGCTATGGTTGTTTGAGGAACATCAGTGCGAATGCGGAGATGATCTTGGTGACGCCGGATAATTGACACATAATCAAGCTTATTTCTGCCGACACTGGTCCCGTCTTCTTCACTACCGTCCCAGGCATCCAACTTTTAGGTTTCCTGAAATCTTTCGCATATACTAGGTTCTCGGTTTTGATAATCCGTTCTCTAGCATGATAGCCATGTACTGCCTTATGCTGTGATTGTTTTTCCCTAACCCGGTCTCCAAAGTTTGGCTGTATCAGATCCAACTGAGAACGCAGGTGTCTGCCCATTAACAGCTCCGCTGGCAGAACAGGTGGGCAATTTGTCTGAGCATGCGCGAAGAAAATCAATATGGCGACATATATTAGGAGTGTTGAACGAACATATTAGAGATAGGGTATTGGGTTACCTGTGGGAAACAAGCCTGTTCGCGGGCGACCTGAGTATCGGGAAAAACAACGAACATGTGAGACTTTGTGAGCGAGAGTTTTGTATAAAAAGTGGGAGTTTTTATAGTTTATTAAACTTTGCTAAAACATAATACGAGAGTTTTAGTGTGCCGACACAAGTTCGGCACATTTTGGTGCCGTGACCAGGATTGAACAACGAAATATTTGCGGATAAAACGAGAAATTGAGGGTATTGCGAAATCCAAGATGGCGGACGAACTTGAACAACAAGAAATTGAGGAGAATAATACGGTAGAAATCACTCAAGAGGAGAAACACCAGGAGAAAAAGATTAGAAAAGAAATTGAAAAGCTGCAGTTTTACCTCAAGGACGTCGACGAATTATTGGAAAGTGAGGATTTTAATGAAATCAATTATGCAAGCGAACACAGCAAATTCAAGTATGCAAGCGAACACAGCAAATTCAAGATAATATGAACGACTTGGTGTCGCATTTACAAGAATTAAAAATTGAGCTGGGAAAGTCAACACAAAGATCTATTAGACAGTGGAAAAGAGATTTGAAGGCAGAGTATGCACCACTATGTGAGAAACGTGCGAGGTTGTGTAGGGTACTAGACGATAGACAGAGACATAAAAACTTGAGAGCTGAGGAAGAAGTGGCAATCAGAAAAATGGAGAAAGAAGAGCAACTGCGTAGACAGATCCAACAACAAGAGAAAGAAATGTGGGAAGAAAGAATGAGAGCGGAGTTGGTGCTGGCAGAGAAGAAAATTCAGATGGAGAAAGAAGCCAAAGCAAGTGCATCGAAACTACCAGAGTTGAAAATATCACCCTTTAATGGGACTTGTGCTGACTGGATAAGGTTCGAGAATATGTTTGCCTCACAAGTGGACAGCAAGTCCATTTCGGACGCTGAGAAATTTGGGTACCTGTTAGAGCTCGTGAATCCGAAGGTGAGAGGTAGACTTTCGAACTTGAAGCCGGGGTCAGAAGGTTACAAAACAGCATGGGAAAGGTTGAAAACGGAATATGGTCATAATAAATTAGTAATTGCAGCTCAAATGGAGGAAATTATTAAGTTGCAGACGGTGAGAGGAAGAAATTACGATAAGGTATGTGATTTTTATGAAAGTCTTTGCAAAAACTATGACGCACTGCAAATGTTGGGTGAAGAAGCTATGTTAAAGGGGTTGGTGGTATCTACCTTAAATAAGCTCCCCCCAGGTTAAGCCTGATTTAGTACGTATTGATGATAATTGGGAAGATTGGAACATGAAACAATTGTTATCAGCATTACAGGGGTGGTTAAAGCGTAACAAAACAGAAGAGGTATCAACTACGGAGTATGAAAACTAGGCCCTTCCCGATTATATGCTAGCATAATTTTCAGCATAACTTGGCTTAACGAGCATATTTTTTGCATTTTTTTAAAAAAAGAATGGCTAGCATAATTTTGCATTTTCCCGCTAATTTCGTCTGCATTTTGGTTGTTAAAAGCAAAACTTTTTATTTTTTGGTGTTCATGCAGTTTTAGTGAGCTTAGGAAAGCTATATTTCCTGTTCTATTTTCCCAACCATCTTCTGCTGCGGCTGAGAGAGTGTTCTCGATACTCAAATCGTCATTTAACGAGCAACAGGAATGTGCCCTAGCGGACTATTTGCAAGCCAGTATAATGTTGCAGTACAACAAGCGATAATCACTTTAAACAGTTATACTTATCTTTGTCATTAAGTAAAGTTTTAACGTTTTAAAGTTAACGTAATATTTGCAGGAAGCTTTAGTTTACGAAAAGTACATGTTGTTGTGCCTTGGCCGTTATTTTGTGCGTATTTCTAGTTCTAAATATTTAGCCAAGCAATTTTTTCAACCAAATGAGCATAATTTTGAAAAATGAGCATAATTTGAGCATAATTTTAGGAAACAAGCATTGCTATGAGCATAATATGTCAGTTTTACTAGCATAATCAGGAAGGGCCTAATGAAAACCCAAGAAAGAGGGAGCGAAACTGGTATACCCAAAAGGGAGGGAGAGATTACCAATGGTAAAGGCAAGGGCCCGGTCTGTATTTATTGCGAAGGACAGCACTGGGGAGACCAATGCACAACGTATGACTCTGTGACTAAGCGTAGAACAGTTCTTTGTTGAAAAACGACTGTGCTTTAATTGCGGTCGACCAGGCCATCACGAAAATAAATGTCGCAGTAGGGGGTGCTACAAGTGCAAGGGCAAACATCACACTAGCCTTTGTGATAAACTGCAGGAAAACAATAATCGAGAAAATCACAGCGCAATGTTAAATGGATATTCCCCATCCTCTGAAGAGAAGTCTTTACCAGCTATTGCGCCACTTAAAATTAAGGGTAAGACATTTTGGGCGTATCTCGATACGGGCTCTGGGAGAAATTTCATCTCGAAGGAAGCAGTGCGACAATTAAGACTATCACCCCAGCGCCATGAGAGTAGAAACATCCTAACTGTAAACGGGTCCAAAAAGGCATCAGTGCCAGTGTTTGAAGTAACAATCAATTCAGTTGATGGACGGGCAAGTGAAAATATCGAGATTACTGGTACAGAAATGACAGATTTTACAACTGTGAAAAGACCGACTTTCATAGAGCTAAAGGAGAAATACGAGCATCTTCGCGAGAAAACATTCTACCGGTCAGAAAGCGAAGAGTATCCCATCCATGTCATATTGGGCGATGCTACCTATTGCAAAATACGGACTGATCAAGTCTACAAGGGAAAATCAGAGGATCCGATTGTAGAAGGAACGACCTTCGGTTGGGTAGTTCATGGCGGCCAAGATTATGCAGACTCAAGGTGCATGTATGTTTGTGACCATAGTGATTATGAACAGCTCTATTCCCTAGATGTCTTGGGAGTAGAGGATCGAGGGGAGAAAGATCAGTCAACAATTTATGCAGAATTCCAAGAAAGCATCACTAGGAAAGAGGATGGAAGATACGAAGTTGCTGTTCCATGGATACCTGGAGCTGTATTGTCAAACACTAATGAAGAACCCAGTAGGAAGAGACTCCACAATGTAAACAGGAAGTTGAAACAGAATCAACAGCTCAAAGATGAATACGAGAAAGTTGTGCATGAACAGTTGAAAGACGGAGTCATTGAAAAGACCAAAGAGAGCTCGACTAGTGAACGTGTGTTCTACATGCCACACAAACCGGTGATTAAAGAAAATACCTCTACAACCAAGGTGAGAATGGTGTTCGATGCAAGTGCTAGACCCCATCCAACGATCAATAGCGTCAATGAATGCATGCACACTGGCCCCCCACTTCAACCATTGTTATGGGACATATTAATCAGAGCCAGATCGTCGCAACGCCATTGTACACGAGTCAGTGTCCAAACTATGTGCGACTTCGAGATGAACCGCGCGCATATGGAGACACGTAAATAAGCAAATATAGCGTTTTTCCTTTCGATTGCGTCCAATTCGAGTCTCAAACGGTCCGGCATAATCAATCCCAACGTGTCGAAAAGGAACAATTGCGCCTGCGAGACGTACATTCGGTAAATTAGCCATTTTCTGCGTCATAGGTTTAACACGACGGCGAAAACATAGTGGGCACTTAACTGTACAGTTCTTAACTTCGGCTCGACCGTGCAAAATCCAGTATTTCTCACGTACGTGATTAAAGACATGTTCGACTCCCGCGTGGATAAGTTTTCGGTGATAGTGGATCACGATCAACCGGGTGACAACATGTCCGTGGTCCAACATAACTGGATGCTTCGACTCCCACGGAATTTCCGCCTTTTCGATTCTGCCGCCTACCCGTAAAACACCGTCCACGAGTTGAGGATCGAGACTTACAGTCCCCAGGCTCCCCGGTCAGGCATGCAATAACTTCACGTACTCTGTCCGTTAAACAGCTATTCAGATGAGCTAGCTTGATTGCTGGCGTTAGTTTATCGTTTTTATGGACAAGAGAACTAAATATTCCCCCAAAGTACGGCCACTTATCTGGTTTTCCATCGAATGATGGGATTTCAACACCTTTCAGACCAGTTCTTTTCCCAGACATTGAATCGTTCACAGTTTCAGTATTTTCATCATTATTCTGAGCAGTTGGTGGTGTAATACTAGACTGTTCGTTTGGCGATGGGCTCTCAGACTTTAATAAATATTCAGCAACTTCTCCCAGGACTTCGTTGACATCAAATTCTACCTCTTCTAACCAGCTACCATCAGTCTCAATTGACGCTGGATCAAGCTCTTCCAGTTTTTTCTTAAGGTCACGGGCTTTCGTACGACCTTCTTCTACACCTTTGGCAAACTGTCGGACTTTCGAAACACTTCCATCGCTAGAGATCAGCTCTCTGACACGATTCATATTTCTTGTCACGCTAGCTTTCGCGACTTTTCTCTTCGCTCTACACTTGTCAATTTCGCTTACTTCTGGCATTTTCTTTCTTATCCGGCTCGACGAAGGACCAGCTTTGTTATAGACGGCGTGTAATTTTCATTAATCATGAGGTTTTCATATATTTATTTAGTACAACTCAACATTTTACAGAAAAAACTCTGTTTCTCAAAACGTTTTGTATTCGTTCTGTCCTCTGACCTCTCTATTTTCAATGTTACTGGACAAAAGTCTATTACCATAATAAATTAACATGAACTATATAATAAACTGGACAAAGTCCAAAACAGGTCTTTATAATCTTTGGATCCAATAACGGCTCCAAGGTGGCTATGACCTTCTGTTGTAACATTCACTTCCTCCCCAAACACCTTCTTAGCTTCCTCTGCTAACAGCTCCGACTTGACAATCAACCAACTTTTTGATCCATTGACGAAATAGCCATACTTCTTTCCTTCGAGAGTCAACTGCTTGTACCAATCATACAATGGCACCAGCTTTTCTCCCCCAGCTGAGTCATCAGCCAACCATACCTTAACTTCTGGGGTTTGTATCCTCAAGCTCTGGATCATGCTGGATGTAGTAACCGAATACCAGGGCATAGCCAGGGGATCACCTTGTGTGGTTCCCTCTTGTGACAATATCTCACCACCGCCGGATATAAATAGCCTGGATGGACCCCTATACGAATTTATAATATATATAGACATTTCTTTACAGATTATGCGAATGTTGTGCATAGCTACAAAACGGCTTCGGCCGCCATTTTGAGAATCGCTTAGGTGATTATCGCGTAATAATCACGTACCTCAACAGCAGCCAATCAGCGTGGAGAATTTTGAATAATCACCTATGTAATTATACTAATAATAATTAAAATCATAACGAAAACTTTATTCAATTTTAATAATAATAATAATACTTATAATTATTATAATTATTATAATTATATTAGAATTAATTATAATTATATAATATATTAATTATTACAACAATTATTATTTAGTGATAATTATTGGTAATTAATTATAATAATTATTAGTAATTAATTATTAATAATTATTATTAATAATATGTAAGTATATAATAAGATGAAGATGATGATGATACATATATATATACATATATATATATATATATACATCAACTTTCCATGTGGCAAGATGTGATCATGTGAACGGTGAACTGTCAAAGACTCCGCATTACTTTGGTCAGCAACAACAAACAAAACCAAAACTTCATCTTATGGACCATCATCTTCATCTTATTATATACTTACATATTATTATTATTAATTAATAAAAATTAATAATAATTATTAATAATTAATTAATAATAATTATTATAATTAATTACTAATAATTATTACTAAATAATAATTGTTGTAATAATTAATATATGATATAATTATAATTAATTCTAATATAATTATAATAATTATAATAATTATAAGTATTATTATTATTATTAAAATTGAATAAAGTTTTCGTTATGATTTTAATTATTATTAGTATAATTACATAGGTGATTATTCAAAATTCTCCACGCTGATTGGCTGCTGTTGAGGTACGTGATTATTACGCGATAATCACCTAAGCGATTCTTAAAATGGCGGCCGAAGCCGTTTTGTCAATTAAAGGCACAGTTCAGCCTGTTGAGCGATGGTTTTTAAGGCACATTTCAGCCCTGTTAATTGAAAAAACTAACTAGGAAAATCAATTAAGCATAATTCAAAATCAGTAAACGCGATGTTTTTAACAATATGAATGTTTTAAAATGTTAAAAACATTAAGATTGGTGATTTTGAATTATGCTTAATTGATTTTCCTAGTTAGTTTTTTCAATTAACAGGGCTGAAATGCGCCTTAAAAACCATCGTTCAACAGGCTGAACTGTGCCTTTAAATGACGAAGAAATGTGTATTTTTAAATTTTTTTCTAAATATTCACCTATGAAATTATACTAAAACAATTATTCACCTCAGGCTCGGTGATTATCGTGAATAAAAACCTCGACTTCGTCTCGGTTTTTATTCACCGATAATCACCTCGCCTTCGGCGAATAATTGTTATTAATAATTATTAATCCAACATCCTGTGGGCCGCCAAGAAACCCGCATGCAATTACACAGTACAGATCTTCATCACGGGCTTAAAACAGTGAACTCTATATATATATATCTGGAATGATAACAGCGAGCGAAAAGTGAAGCCGACAAAAAAAATCACGACATAAGTATTCGTCATTGTCTTCGTCATCAACTGTTCAAGAACTTTCTTACAGTATTAAAAATCACTTACATATAAAATTTGTAATTGTTTTGAAAGTTTTTATCCAAGTTTTATATCTTTATTCACTTTTAACTTGAAGATGGAGTTATACTCCGAAACGTAGGTATTAAAATAATTTTTTGCCAAGACCATATGGTCTAATTTATATTCAAACACACGTACATATTCATTTACATTTTGCTGGCAGGCAAATTCCCATCACACAATAAATTCTTTAAAAAAATAACGTACCAGTGTATTGACTAAAAACTATAAAACTGGTAAACTAAAAAACAATTCAAACAATCGCGAAAAATGGCAACGGCAAAGTCACAGTTAATTGCAAGTCAATTTACCTACCTGTGAAATGAAATTTTCTCGCAAGAATATCTCTTTCCTTGTGCATCCAGAACGACAGTACGACACAATATATTTGAAAAAGTGGTTCTTTTCTCCACACGGGGAAGTTTTCCTCGACTTTTTTCCGACAGCGAACTCAATGCAGTAAATTTTAGGAGCAAAACTGTTTGCTCCTACAATGTATTGCATTGAGTTGGTCATGTTTTTAATTTTTTTTTCGTGATTGCGTTCAAATTTATACTGGCCGTGCAACGGTTTGCAAGAGGGGGAATGAAACTGACGTCCAATCCGCGTAAACCTGACGTTTGAGGGACTGAGACTGACGTCCAATCCGCGTGAAAGACTGGTTTCGAGGCTTCATTGTTTTCACAATCAAATGACTGAATGTTATCGTTCCAGATATATATATATATATAGAGTTCACTGGCTTAAAACTGTAGGGAGCCTCTTTAAGAATGCGTTTTTGACTCGTGTTCGTCAGTTTTTGACCCGTGTTCACTCGTGTTCGTCAGTTTTTGACTCGTGTTCACTCGTGTTCGTCAGTTTTTGACTCGTGTTCACTCGTGTTCACAATTTTTTGACTCGTGTTGTCTCGTGTTCACTCGTGTTCTGACTCGTGTTCACTCGTGTTCACTCGTGTTGTCTCGTGTTCACTCGTGTTCACTCGTGTTCTGACTCGTGTGGTCTTTTAGAATAGATCTGGGGCCGATTGTATAAAAAAGTGATTAAAGTTAACTATAGTTAGTGGAAACGTCATCCAATAAAAAGCGCGTATTTGAGAGTTAATCACTATTTAACTACAAAATAGTGATTAAAAAAGTGATTAAGAGTTTTATACAACGGCCCCTGGTTATTTCAGCAGCGAACGAAAAAGAGTTAACTACTTTTTAACTGCAGTTAGCGCTAACTACGTTTTTATACAACCGGCCCCTGGAGTTTCTCGATCATGCAAAGTGAAGAAAATTTATATGCCTTGCGCTGTCGAATTATGGCTCATTCGAATATTAACATTTGGAAAGACACGGCAAGAGTTAAAATAAGAAACATGGGCTAGTTGAAACTCATTTGCAAATGAACACCAAAACGATTTACCTCTGGGATGAACTATATGGAATTATGGAATAATAGATTTATGTACTTAAAGTTTATGCCAAGTCAAGAGGGAAAATTGTAAAGAAAATGTGGTTTGTCTACAACAGCCTTGAAAAGGTCAGTACACTTTTAAAGACATAAAGTGGTTGAAACCTCGGTTGAAACGGATATTTTTTCTACAGATACGGTTTTTCCTGCGAGTCTATAGCTTGGGACTATCTTTTAACGTCATAGAGAACTGAAAAAGATACAAGTCGAAACATTTTTTTCCGCGCTTCGTGTTTCATGAGTAGAAATCGCAGATAGTGCCGGTAAAAAACAAAAAAGCCGGTCTTCTTTTGTAGAAAAAACTATTTTAAATAACTTCAACAACAACTGTGCAAATTTTTAGGCGAAGTTTTTCACCTAGGAAAAAAGATACAAATCGAAACATTTTTTCCGCGGTTTGAGTTTTATGGCCAAACATGGCTACATTGACCTTGTCACTTTCGAGTGAGACCATGGCACAACCAAGTCGAAAAGCTGTGTTTTAACAAAAAAGCCGGTCTTCTTTATAATAAAAATCGATTTTCAATAACTTTATTAACAACTGTGCAAAATTTTAAGCAAAGTTTTTCACCTAGGAAAAGAGATACAAGTCGAAACATTTCTTCCACGCTTCGTGTTTCATGAGTAAAAACGGCTGATAGTGCCTTTAATGTCGTTTCATGTGAGACCAGGTCAAAACCAGGTTAAAAAATCATGTTTTAACAAAAAAGCCGGTCATCGTTTTAATAAAAATCGATTTTCCATAACTTTATCAACAACTGTGCAAAATTTCAAGCGAAGTTTTTCACCTAGGAAAAAAGATACAAATCGAAACATTTTTTCCGCGGTTTGAGTTTCATGGCCAAACATGGCTACATTGACCTTGTCCTTTCGAGTGAGACCATGGCACAACCAGCCGAAAAGTTGTCATTTAACAAAAAAGCCGGTCTTGGTTTTAATAAAAATTGATTTTCCATAACTTTATTAACAACTGTGCGGAATTTCAGGCAAAGTTTTTCACCTAGGAAAAAAGATACAAGTCGAAACATTTTTTCCGCGGTTTGAGTTTCATGGCCCAACATGGCTACATTGACCCAGTGAACTCTATATATATATATATCTGGAACGATAACATTCAGTCATTTGATTGCGAAAAAAATGAAGCCTCGATACCAGTCTTTCACGCGGATTGGACGTCAGTCTCAGTCCCTCAAACGTCAGGTTTACGCGGATTGGACGTCAGTTTCCTTCCCCCTCTTGCAAACCGTTGCACGGCCAGTATAAATTTGAACGCAATCACGAAAAAAAAATTAAAAACATGGCCAACTCAATGCAATACATTGTAGGAGCAAACAGTTTTGCTCCTAAAATTTACTGCATTGAGTTCGCTGTCGGAAAAAAGTCGAGGAAAACTTCACCGTGCGGAGAAAAGAATCACTTTTTCAAATATATTGTGTCGTACTGTCGTTCTGGATGCACAAGGAAGGAGATATTCTTGCGAGAAAATTTCATTTCACAGGTAGGTAAATTGACTTGCAACTGTGACTTTGCCGTTGTCATTTTTCGCGATTGTTTGAATTGTTTTTTAGTTTACCAGTTTTATAGTTTTTAGTCAATACACTGGTACGTTATTTTTTAAAGAATTTATGTGTGATCGGAATTTGCCTGCCAGCAAAATGTAAATGAATATGTACGTGTGTTTGAATATAAATTAGACCATATGGGCTTAGTAAAAAATTATTTTAATAACTACGTTTCGGAGTATAACTCCATCTTCAGGTTAAAAGTGAATAAAGATATAAAACCTGTGATAAAAACTTTCA